AGAGCTGGACCAGGTGTGGGGAGAAACACTGAGTTTATTTGGCAGGTGGACAGTCCAGGGTCCTAAAATCAGTAACCGATATTAGTACGGGACTAGGCGGAGTCCAGAGACAGGCAAAGTCAAGCAGCAGTAAACAGTGTCCAGTGGGGCAGGCAAGTGGAGGTTATGGGTCTGGTCCGAAGTCAAAAGCCAGGAGATCCAACAGGAAGGAATGGAGACATACTAAGTTAAACGAGACTAGGGCTGGATCAGACACACCTACAAGACATGGGGAATACACGTAAAGGGCAGGTAGAAGCAGGAATGAAGAGATTCCAGGAAATGGGATGAAAGCACTAGAAAAAAGCACACTACACTGAGGCATGTCTAACAAAGACAGGAACTTCAATGTGTAGAGACAATGAGTAACAATGGGGAACAGGTGTGGGAAAGAGTGAGGAATGTACACAGGGAATTGGGGTAATCGCGAGACAGTAATTTAATGATTGAAAACAATTAATGAGACAAAAACTTAACTGTAGTAGACGGCCAGATTGTGGGGAAATTAACAGAGACACAGGATGTGATACAAATTGCTCTTTACAAAGCAAAAATTGAGTGACATAATAATTTGCTATTAAACTACTAAATTTTCCCATAAAATGATTTATGAGAGGAATAATATTTTCAATTTAGCCCATAAAACTCAAATTTTTCACTTAAGTTTTCCCTTAAGTAGGTTCAAAGTCAGAAATTACCTCTTTTTCATTGTAAGGCACTGTCACGTACTTATTCTATATCTGCTGTTTGCAGCGCTTCACTGAAGATACACTGCACCTATAGTGAGAGAAATATTCAAACCCAGGAGGGCATGTTTTTACAGCCACATCAAAACACCAAATGGAAAATATTTAAATCCTCTGAATCATTTTATACACATTTCCCTGTAATTCAGCAGGAAATATTTGGGGCAGTTAGTAACCTTGGGATCTCCACTCCAATTTAAAATAGACTTGAAGTTCCACAAATTTGAACACAGTTGCTGCATTTTATGGACCCATACATGGGTCCATAGGTTTTATGGGGTTAAAACCATTTTGAAATGTTTCATTTTTATTTGCTTCAATATGTGGTCATGGCGATGACTTATGACTCATTCTATTGACAAATACGGTCTGCCCATTATTTCAGTGCAAAAAGATGTCAAATATGACAGAATTAACAACACAACTGGGCCAGTCTCCTCCATTAAAATGTCTGTGAGACAGTGATGCTCAGTACAAAGGGGCCAGGCCTTTTGTGTGTAACAGGATGTTCTCTTCCTCCTGTCTATTACAAACTATAATGAGTCAGTGAAGCGAGTTAGCCTGTCATGGCCACAATGTCCAAAAAGCCTGCGGGGGGCTGAACTTAAGCCAAGCAGTATACTCAGTCTAATTGTTGTCTCACACTTTCCAACTTTGGCTCGGCATGTAAAGCTTATGATTGTTTAATTCTTTTAATTTTTAAAGCTGTTCTATAATTTTAAAAACTGTACCTAAAGTAGCACTTTATTAAAAAATCCAGTCTTCTTTCTCTAGTGGCAAGTGTTTCAATAAGCATTTGCAGAATCATTCAAGTACCATGACAGCAAAAGTAGAATGTTGTTTGCTAAATTATTTGGGGAGATGCCAGTATCCATGGTGACGTACAGAACATTCGTAAATGTGTGGGCAGCAAGTAGTATCAAAAGTGAGACAATACAAGGATTTAGATAACATTTTCCCTTTAAAATGCGTTTACCTTGATACACTATAACTAAATGCAGACAGATGGCCAATCGACAGCTCGCTCGAGATAATAACAAAGAATGTATTTCTCACAAATACATATTTTTTCATAGTAGGCCTAAACTGAATGCCGAATCTCACATAAGAGTGACAACTAATCCTTTTCCGGGAGACCTCCAATCTGCTTCGTTTTGATTTTAGTCCTAATTTGGCACACTGGGCTCTAATTAATAGCTTAGAAAGGTTTTCATCAGTTGAATGAGTATTGCAATATTTATTGAGAAAACGCCCGCGAAGGTTTGATTACCACAGTCTCACATGATCTAAATCTCTAATGCCCTCTAGTGTTGAAAGACGGGATTGTGTTTACATATTTCGTCTTAAAACAGGTCATACTGAAGCCGGCCGCTAGCTGGGGCCAACAGCGAGTCTGGGCCCTAGGGCCTACTTCTCAATGCGAATGAACGACATAATACCAGCTCGCATGATTTAAAAAAATGAAGAGATGCGATAATTGGGTGAGTAGCCTAACGTGAAATATAGTTAATACTAAAATCAAATAAAGTGAAATAAAAAGTAACGGCACTGTCATAGAATTAACATCAGGGGTAAACTATTTAAATTTTGTAATTGAAATCATTACAACGTAAAAGTATTCATATGAAAGATCATGATTTTCTGGGAAGCTGATATGTCATGTCAGCCAAAGTAATGATGACCTGTGAGTTGGTCCATTGTATTAAAATACATGGATATGGAGTTTCCCAATATAAGGTAATACCGCCATCTTGATTTTGCCTTCGGAAGGTGCTCATACCATGTAGAAAAAGTCTTTTTTTTCTCTCTGGAGTTATCAGGACTAGTAGCGTTACATTCATCAGTCACAGAGGAGTAGTTTGAGTTAATTAATTATATTAATTTTAGTACAGTGTTTGAACAGGGAGAATATGGAGAAAATACAAACAATAGGCGGACGCAGTTATGTGTGTCCTGTGAGATGAGCAGCCACAGTAATGTTTAAAATTTGGTGCCTTTTGCAGAAACTGAAACCAGTCAGTCCCGATGCATTCTCTGATCCTCATGATACTCGCGCTGACCTGAGAACAATTTCAAAACAGTTGAGCAGCAACCAAAGAAAGTGTAACCCAAATTCTGAAAAAGCTGGGACATTTTGAAAAAATGCAAATAAAATCAAAAAGGGCTGATTTGAAAAGTCCATTCACCCTCCACTATATTGAAAACTGTACAAAAACACATTGTGTGATGTTTAACATAAATTAAACTCCTTGAAAATATGCAGTGTGACTAAAGGGCTAGTAAATACTAGTTTAACTTTGACCGGAATTACACAGTAACAGTTTAATGGCTGTTTTTTTACTGGCAAAAAATACCCATCTCTGAATTGCAGTTGTCTTGTTTGTCTGTTGTCTGTTTGTTTATACTCATTCTTGCGTTCACAATTCTTGAGGTATCGACTCGAAATTTATATAAGATGTCATATGTCAAAGGAATAAGGGGTTAAATTTTAGAAGTTCAAGGTCAAAGGCCAAGGTCAAGGTCATCAAAAAAGTCAAAAAGCACACTTTTTTGCCAGTGTCTTGCTTCCAAAAAACTAGACCAAAGCCAAAATGTTCAGTCTTGTTTTGTATTTTTCAAGTTTTGGCAAGTTTCACTCTACAGTATGAACAATTTCATCTGTTTGTCTGTTAGCAACTTGACTCACCCCAGATGATTCAGGGGAGGCATTGTTTTTAGTTTTGTGTTTTTGTTACTAAAGCCAGCATGTTGATTGTCAGGTTTGTCTGTCTGTTCTCACTCATGTTTACAATTCTTGAGGCATCGACTTGAATTTTTTTTTCCCACAAGTAGCAATATGTCCAAGGAAGAAAAGTTTTGTTTTGGAAGGTCAAGGTCAGAGGTCAAAGTCAAAAGATAAAAGATAAAAAAACACTTTTTGGCCAACATTTATTCTAGAAAAATGGTAGAGACATGGGACAATGCCTGAATGTCCAGTCTTGTCTAGCGTTTTCCATTTTTCAGAAGTTTTGCTCTATGAGCAATTTAATTTGTTTCTTCATTTGTAAGCAACTGTTTCTTCATTTGTAAGCAACTTAGTGCCTAGTCCATTGCAGCGATCATTTCCAATCTTGGTACACAAGTCGGCCATTGTCCAGACTACAAGCAGTTTCGTTTTGGAGACAATAGGACAAAGTTCAGCAAAATCACAGACCAAAGTGTAGAAATAGTTTTTACACTTTTGTTGTAACTTCTGTTGTAATGGTTGGATTGAGTTCAAACCACGCTCAAAAGATCCAGCACACAATTCCACATCCTCTGATGTAACACTATGGCATTAGGAAATAGAATAAGTTCAGTGGTAGATTTTTTTGTTAAAATTTCAGTGAGAACAAACACTCTGAAATGCTGGTCATTCCTTTGGTCATAATTTTTTTTGTTCTTTTTTGTATTTGTATTAATTGATTTAATGAATCAGTTATTGTGTGTCGTTATGTAACCGTTGGATGTATTGAACCATTTGGATTATCGTGATTGACTGATTGAGAGAGTGCATTAGTGATGATATCCTGGCTTTTCAATTTTGTCTGTGCTTTTATGGGTGTGACATTCAATTGTTTCATATTATAAAATGGAACTGAAAACCAGTATGCATATGTTTAAACATACACAGCAGAACCATTCCCATTGATGGATTACAGAGTTTGCGATTATTTTTGGGTGCATCACCGACGACAAAGAAAATCAGACCCAAGATGGTGTTGCAAGATAAGATGGGAATCTTACAAATAAGTGCGACTTCTGACTGTAATATCAATCCATGAAAAGATCCTGTCTTCACCTTTCACATCTGAATTTAGGACTTAAATTGGGAAGTTTTCATAATACAACCCCAAGTGTGCAGCGGTTTGTTTGGAATGAAAGCCTGCACCCACACCAGCTCTTTTGGGATAATATTGAGAGAGTGTGACTCATATGTTTATTATGTTTATTACTATGCCGCTTCTTCCTCACTAGGGTCATGGTTGAGCTGGAGCCTACCCAGCAGACTATGGGTAAAAAGCAGGGACCTACCCTGGAAAGTTCACCAATCCATCCCAGGACGCACATACCATTAACTCGCAAACTCATATCAACGACAATTTAGAGTCTCCAGGTAGATTGACGTGTGTGACTTTGGACAGTGAGAGGAAACTGTAGTGCCCAGAGGAAACCCATGCTGACTCCACACAGAAAGGGCCCAGGCCAGAATTGAACACACCAACATCTTGCTGCTAGAATGCAGTGCTACCAACTGCGCCACCATGCCACACTTTATGAAATTATGTGTACATAAAATAAAAAGGGCAAAATATGTGCACACTGGATTTTGAGTAAATTATTGACATGAGAATGCAAAGAGGAATGATTAACAGTGAAGTGTTTTGTAGGTCTACTTGGCATGTTCAGTAATAATTTACCAGCATTGCGAAGGCATTACACTGAGATGTTTCATTGGGCACTTACAAGTAGTCCACTTGAAAGTACTATGAAGATCCTTCCAAAAAGTGACCAATTTTCAGGTTATTATTCAGACTGAGTAGCTAAGTGCAACTAGTTGGTCTACTCTGAAAAGTGACCTTCACATTCTTGAAAATATTATCCCGTGTACATTCATCTTAGTTAACATACAAGTTTTGCAGTGCACCAAATTGGCGAAGTTCCAATAATTATATTCTCGGATTGCTCAATTACAACAGATATCCGCGTCCTAATTTTATAGTGTGTCACTGTTACCAAAACCAACCAAAGTAAAACACTGTTCTTGAAATTTTATGTGATAAACGGCAACTTGTCAGACAACCATGGGTTGCCCTTACCCAACCAGATGTATAATATTTGATTTTAATACAATGTAATACCATGACTTACAAGTCTGGCTAGAGGGAGTAGAAATTATTATTTACATTCATTGAGCCCCTAGAGAGAGAGAGATGGCCCATAAGTTTCAGTGTTACACTGAAATTTGCGACTGCAGTAGTTCATTTCCTGAATGTAGGCCTTAGTGGTCAAAACGGGCATGAAGAAGACTGACAGCATGATGGGTTCATTTGTACCTTCATGCACAAGTAACAATTGGATTTCCCAATCTCAAAAAACATTTGAATAAGTTTTAGATTTTACTGTTGGGATTTGGAAACGTTTACGCCGTCTACCCTACAGTATCTACCCATCATCTACGTATACGCTCTTCACGCCCGTTTTCGACAGTATTTTTGCAGAAAATGTGCAACAGCGGCCTCTGCGGTCACACATTTTGGGGATCAGAGATACGCGCGAAAATAATGACGTAAGCAGTCCCCCCCCCTCTCGCCCTCTGCTAAGGAATTCCTATTAGCGTAAGCTACGTCAGTGCCTCAGTTGAATTCCTAAGGACAAAGAGCACGCGAAATGCATGCCACCATTTTATTGCGCTTACCACGAATATAGCTAGAATACAGTACTTCCCATTTCATTACCGTATAGCCTTATTGCACACAGCCAGACACCTCCATGCTCTACTCAAGAGCACGCTATTTATTTGGAGTATCCAGCTGAAAACAAGATTGCCTCAGTGCGATGACAGTTAAATTTAAGTGCTCCACTTCAGAATAGTCCAGTATGGATTCAAAGTAAATTCAACCGGCCAATGTTTAGATATAAATGTCCAAAATTCAATCCAGCAAACACACAAAGGAAGCCGTTTGCAAAACTATAAGCAGTAAGAAGAGGCATTATCTTTTTTTAAAAAAATTGCATTACATTAACCATGAGCTTGCGAAACATTGTGTTTATTAAATCAAAACACCCAACCCCTGAAAAAAATCAGGAAACGAGTTAAAAAAAAATACTTCGTTGCGAAGTGTAACATTACATACAATAACTTTACAGAATACAAAATTTCTAAAATCCCTGGTCAAGCACCAAAAATTCGAAAGGTCAAGCACCAAAACAAAAACAAAACTTTTGTCTTTATGGCTCCTACCCTAACAATGTAATCCGACCCACCGTTGTTTTGGGCCATACTGAACTGAATGTTCTGCAGCCGCAACTCAGTTCTGAGAAACGTAAATTCAGTCTTGAGAACAGCACTGCCTCCTACCCTCAGAGGTATACGTGCCAAAGGAGGTTAGAAAGTTCTTGTTCAGAGTGAAATCGTTGCAGTCTTGAGTGCAGTTCCTGGGATCGTGGATTTTAGAGGACCCTTGGGTGGGGCGTTTAAATTAAACGTACCCAAACAAATACAGGTAGCCGGCGCCCCGATTAATTCCGGCAGTAAACAGAAATGTTTTCTCTAACTCGCCTGCCAGTGAGCCAGCTGCCCGGATATGGGGCAGGGGTTAGACGACTAGCTTACGAGCCAAGAAGTCAGAATAACGTCAAGAATAAAAAACAAACAAAAAAAAGAGGTTTACACACAGCCAGACGCTTATTTAAAAATACCAGTTGCAAAAAAAATTAAAGTAAAAAGTCTTAGAAAAAAACCCATATGTTCTAGTACGCTAACTAGCAAGCTATTATTGTTAGCGTTCACGTGTAAGGAGGTAGCGAGCTAGTTAGCATGTCATTGTTAGACGCTTTTGATGTACATCAACCGATTAAGTCTTTTACAGGCAGGTTAGCCCATCGAAGTAATCATCTCCGCTCTAGGAAACACAAGGTTATTTGCCCGTGCCCATGTCCTTGTGCACCAGTCCAGTTGCATCAAAGACGGCATTTCATAAAATGCAATCTTGTCCAATTAGTATTGCACACCGTCGACCGAGTTTGCATGATCTGCACGTTCCGACGCAGTGAACTGCAGTCGCCGAACAGCCTCTTTAATGAGATTCCCAGACAAAATTAATTCCTGAAGCAACTGATGTGGATCATCCTCTTCACTTGATACGTCAGGCGTCTTTCGGCTCCAGGATTTAAATCGATCCCATTCCTGATCACTGGATCCCGGGATGTTATAGGGGCTTGCTCGGCTTCGTCGTCCTCGATTCCGAAGCCGAAAACAGCAACCATTCCGCATTTGCAGAGTCGCGCTACCGTTGTTCGTCTGTTTGGCGTTGGTACTGCCGTTGCTGTTGTGGCTATGAAGACATGACATCGCCTTTTGATTAGCAGTGGCATTGTTGTGTAGCTGCAATGCTTCGCCGATTTTAGTAACAAGAGCGTCCACCTCTTTCGAATCCACGGTGACGGACTGCTCTAAAAGAATATACTTTTCTTTTCGACAAGGCATTCTTTCGTATTTTCAAGCAATCTTTGGAAGATTACCTTTTAAAATGAATGGGATTGACAGTGTGCTCTGACCCTCACCACGCTGCTCAACGGAAAAGGACTCACTTGGCTTGATTTGTAAACAATGGGTGACGCATGATCCGGATTGTACCATTACAGGCAGGGGAGTAATTAAACTAAAATAACTCATCATTCTGTAATACGTCTACCATGAAATATAATAATGTTAGTATAATGCATTACATGCCACTTAAAAATCCATGCGACATCAAATAGAGCTACGATTAATTTACCTTATATAAACTTGCTGTAGGCCTATATGTTAATTTTGCACTTAACGAAATGCTCCCCCACAGTCTTTTGAGCCAAGAAATTCGGAATGTAACGTCATCTTGTAAGTGGTTACATAATCCCGAAACTGCAGAGCATGGCGCGTTGGAGAGAGGAACTGACTGCTGGGGCGTTATGAAAAACAGACCTGCAGTTTATGTTCATTCATCTTACCGCCCAATGCTTGCAATGGCGGCCTTTGTGGGTATTGAACGAATATGCATAAGTTTAAACCAACCTTAATATGCTGCTATCTTGATTTTTTTTTTTCACGGTGCCTAGCATATTTCTTTTGCCTTGGCTATTTGTTGTACAGCTGCAAAAAATGACCAAATTGTAATTACAGCTATTGATCTTTAAGGAAACGCTTAAATACTCTTGGCACTATTAATATTCTAAATCACAATGCTGTAATCTTCTCAGCTTTGACCTTGTCAAAAGAATATTATGAAATGATAAAATACGAAAGAATATTATTCTCATAATGCAGCTGACACATAGCAGGATATTATTTCTGACTTTAAAATCACATGGCTCATTGCAATAAAATGGAAAAATCATGATCTTATTTTTCAGAATAGTATTTCAATGGGGAAAGTGAGCTATTCGATACCCTAGGGTATACAATTTGCTCAAAAGTTAAATAGCCAAAGTGTTGGCAAGCGTGTTTGTAGCAATATGCATGTAGTATAACTGTATCGATAAATAATTTAATTACTGTATACAAGTAATTTATTTTTATGATTCCCGCCGTCAAAGCGTGCAGCGCGCTCAAGTGAGGAGTGGACTACACAATTAGTCTGTGGTTCTGATATCCATATAAGGGATTGCCAACAGACACACGTGGTACGTGTGCTCAGCTGAACTGTACTCTTTTTTTATAGAGCCTCGGTCTGACAACCTTGACTTGATGTGTAGGCAACAGGCCTCCCTTGTTTATGATGCGGCTTTGCCAGTTTAAAAATAAAGTGCTTCTAAATTAATTTGCGTTCGCATAGCACGGAGCGATTTCTCATGTTTTGTCGTGGCCGAAACGTATTTGTCACTAGAGTCTATTTTGATTGCAGGCTGGTTGTGACATAAACAAGCTACCATAACAGCTGTGTCTGGTCGATAATTCAAGTTTGTCCGAGCTTTGTGAAGCTTTTCAAATGTTCCATGAATACTTTTTCCAATAGAGTAAGCCTTGTTGTGTAATGCTTTAAGAATCAAACTGCTGTTAAAATGAATTAATCAAAGAAACTGGTTCACGCAGGAAACATTGGTTTTACACCTAAAAATCTACAAGGTATCATGCAAGCATTTCTCATGCCATTCAATGTTGTTTGCATTTATTTCTCATGTTGAAGTTTTGTGTTACGCGTAAGTCGTGCCGGCTATTGCTTCTCTCTCCAAACACGCAAACGTAAAAAAAAAATGTCAACCAGTGCAACTATTTGAGAGTTGCCTTCGCGTACCAGTTCTTCTTTGTGGTTTGGCAGGGAGGTGCATGGCGGAGCATTTCTCTGATCCTGTGATGGTATTGAGGACAGGAAGTGAGATTTGGTTTGCGTAAAAGTCGAACAAGTTGGTACTTGAATTTCTGTCACAAGTAGAACACTTGTGGCCAGAAGAGGACACATTTGAGGTTTGTGAAATATGCACTTGTGCGCAACTCTGCACGGATGAAAACAGCGGTAGTATACTAATCTCTGCTAATACAGCATAATGGGAAAAGTTTTATTAATGAAT